TCAACAAGCTAAACTGCCTCAACACATGAAAACTGAATGATTTCAGGTGAAATGTACAGCAGGACCATTTCAGATATACCAACAGGCAAATCCTAAATTACTTTAAAATGTGCTGCTGGTTATACAGTTTTCTCTTTCCACTACTTTAGCTAATTATTTTATTCCCCTCAGCCTATTAAAACATTTAACTTTCTTAACCACAGCATTTACTGCTGGCTGCAATTAATAAAGACAATATTATCAGCATTAGTGCTGCTCTAATCCTAGACATCCAATCTCCCCTTCACACTGTAGGCTTTTCCCTGTCCTAATCTAGCAGTTCGGACTTGCCCCAGCCCTGCCCTGGTGGTGCTCCACCGGCTTTCACCATTAGATTTAAATACATTTCCATCTATATGTTAATGCAACCACAGGTGACAAGCCAATCTACAACTGATACGCGTTTACCCGAGCATGAAATTGGGATGCACAAACAAAAATAAGGATGAGAACAGCATGAGCAGCATCTTGGTGACGTACAGTACATTAAAATTTGACAGCGTGAGCAGGATTGCCTCAGCTGCTTGATTTGCAAAGTCCATTTACCGCCTTGTCCACTGTTGTCCAGCAAACTGGACAACAGTGTGATTTATCAGTTTGGTAAAAACCGGGGACAGTGTATGAGTGTGTGTCTCCCAATCAGAAGTGATGTTGAAAGGAGACATCAAACGACGGTCGTCTTGAGTTGAGATGACTCTGACGAGCGGTTGGATAATCAAAAGAGCTGCCTGGAGGCGGGTGCAGGGGGATGGCAGCGATGAGGTTAGAGCGTCCGCACTGAAGCTCTGCCAGGAAGTTTGTGTCTGGGCCAATGAGCTGGGAGAGGAAGCGCTGAGTCAGGAAGCCTGGCCAAGAGAGAGGCCCGTGGTGCTGGCATCTCCTCCTCACACACACGTTACAACGCTTCACACACCACCGCTCTGCTGGAGTCATAACACACTGTTCCCAGGCCAGCGCCGTACACGCATGTGCACAACGCCAGGCCCACACTCTCGCCCGCTGTGCGCGCATTCATCAGTAAACAGAGAGATGTGACGCCAAATACCTGTGGCACAATAAAGTGTGGAGGGTTGTACAAACAGAGATATTGCTATTTGTAAAACGCAAACAACATCATCAAGTCAGCGAAGGGACTAAATCTTTTCCAAATATATGACACAAGGGGTGAAAGATGCACCTTTGAAGTGATCTATTAGAGACAGAAGATCATTCTGATGTGTAGCAGCGAGCAGGTGCAGGCGTACCCGAGGGCTATTACACGGGATGAAACTGTGATATCTTCATTATCTCTTTCATAGCATGACACAGAGGAGAGGCTAACACAAGACTCTAAAGAGCTCCTTATCAGAGGAATCTATCTGGTGTGGCAATACTCTGTGTGTGTGTGTGTGTGTGTGTGTGTGTGTGTGTGTGTGTGTGTGTGTGTGTGTGTGTGGAGGCAGTTGATATGTTTGATGAGAAGGTCAGAGAGGACAGCGAGGAAAAAGAGGTAGAGGAGGAGTATCGGCTCTCTATAGCCGCAACCAATCAATGGACGGCAGAGAAATGGTGAATATGAGCTTAAAGGAGTAGTGCGACATTTTGGGAAATGTAGTAGTATAGTTTATTCGCAGTGAAGAGTTAGAACAGCAGGTTGATAGCAGCTCTCATAACTGTAGTTTAAATGTAAAGCTACAGCACAGCTGCCAGTTAGCTTAGCTTAGCACAAAGCCTGGAAACAGTGCTAATGATCTAGCTTGGTTCTGTCAAACGGTAACAAAATCCACCTGCCGGCACCTCAACTCGCCATTTTATGATGGGTTTGTATTTCAGGGAAATGATCCAAAATGTAACCCACGTAAACCAGCAAATTGTTGTTTAGTACATTTTAAATCAACCAGATATGAAGTGCTGACGTAGATAGACATGTGTTACCTTTGAACTGAGCCAGACTAGCTGTTTACCTGTTTCCAGTCTTTATGCTAAGCTAAGCTAACCAGCTGCTGGTATTTAATGTACAGTTGTAAGAGTGGTACCAACCATCTTATCTCTCGCTCTGTAACGAACTATCCCTTTAAAAAAGGTTAAAAAAAATTGAATAAATATGTTATCAAGTTGAGGTGAAATTATGTGTCGACGCTGTGATGGATAAGGAGTATATTTTTCAAGCTGATCTGTGCATATTTCCTTGTAACAGTCATACAACTCAAACACAGATAAGCAGCTAAAAGATTTATGTCATTCCTGTATAAAAACCAAAACATTAATCTGTATGACTAAACATGAAACAAACAGTTGCAATGACTATCAGATCAAGGATGCCTACTTACTGCTTGGTAAATCTCTGAATAGTAAAAACTCACTCCGATCTGCTTTAAAGCTCCTACTAAGTCTCTCTTTCTGGCCTGAATTCAGCTAAAAGCTATAAGATCACTTTGGATGGAGCTCTTTTTTTAAAAAAAAAACCTCTCTGACTATCTTTAAATGCCTGACAATGAAAGGCTAATAGAAATCCTCATATCAAACTGTACAAAAATAAAAAGCTGTTTGAACTCCATTATCAAAGAGGCCAAAGTCGTTTTAAGGAAAAGTGCCATAGGGGTTAAATTAGAGAGAAACTGTTTTCTCCTGATGAAAAGACACCCATGCTGGCTGGCACTGCTGAGAGACAAAAAAAACAAAAAAGTGGATTTATTCTCAGAGTAAAGACAACCATACTCACCTCAAACAAACTTGTGCCACTTTAACCATCAAAAACAAAAGGAACCTTACATAAGCCCAGAGAGTTTTGACCTTGCTCTCTGCAGCCGTGTCCACTGTTCTTAATCTCAGGGGCATAAATTAGCAGCACCTACAGTACGGTCTGAGTTTCCAAGGAGAGCGGGCCTCCTACCGGGGGGCCAAAGATGTCTGCTGGAGTTTGTTGCCGGGGTTCGGGAATGGCTGCACTTGTCACAAGGACTAAAGACAGTTTCCTCGCTCAGCACCCAGAGACAGAGAAGCGTCAAAGTCAAGGGTGGGCAGGAATGTCCTGAATAGGCAGTTACGTAAAACTCACAGCACCCTGTGAGGAAAGAGAAGGAGCTACTCAGGACCTGACAATGTGAGCACTGAAATTAAACAGTATCAGACGGCCCGAAGTGTACAGTATAAACATCTAAAGCAAGCTTAGAGCTGAGGCAGATTCATATTTTCACAAATCTGCTGAATTAGGAGACAAACAAAAACAATCTTTTAATTAGAATAAGGGCACGAGTCAATGAGCCTCTGGGCACAGACATGTAAAAGGCCCCCAACCCCTCCTACACAGAAGCAAGACCCACCAACTGAAAGAGACACAGAACGACTACAAATGAAGACACCGATGCAATTGCGTCGTTTTTTTTCTCTCTGTTGTCATTGTGTGTGAATTCATACTCGCTTTGTGTGTCTCTTTGTACTTGTTTTGCTTGATATTTTTACTTATTCTGCATCTTTTTTTTTTTATTGGTCTTGTGTCTCTTTGTAGTCTAATTTTGCAGCTGTTTGTGTCTGTTTTTTGAGTTTATTTGTAGTTGTTTTATTGACTTTCCAACAAGAAATGTCAACTGTGTAAAATGTCACTTCATACCGAGGCTGTGGTCCAAGGGCCCTGTGACCCCTTGGGCCACTGGGCCTGTGCCCGGTAGGCCTGCTCAGTAATCCATCCATGAATAAGGGAGTTTAGGTGAGGCTATTGATGAAAACAAAATTAGCGGGGACTAATCCGCTTTTGATGTCAACAAAGTAATTGCAGAAATTATCTGGGGCATGTTTACCAAAACAGGCAAAAAGATACAGTATCTGTGATCACCGGCGCAAAGCATTCTGAAAACCACACTTTGTTTATGGCAGCTCCCTCTCATGCAAGCACAAAAATAAAAGCAAATAGAAGAGGAAAAAAAAGTGAAGAAAAAACATAGCAACACCAAAAAAAAAACCCTCTCCCTCCCTCTTTGCTCCCACCAGAAGCCACCCAGCGAGCACCAGGGCTAACCCTGCTGACCTGACCCAGATATTAACCCAAGCCTCCAGATGTGAACGCGCGCTGGGATTACTCCACCACTGCATCAAGCTCCACATGCTTTCCTAATGAGGCATCCTAAAATGACCCTGGAGACAGAGAGGACTGTCTGCCTCACTATGTGCCCACATTCCCATAACTCTATCAGCCTATCTGTACAGGATCATCTTCATATCTGCTCATATTCTGCAGAATACAAACATCATGGGCTGAAAATGCAAAAGTTGAGCATGAGAGATGTTGCTCAGTATGAAGTATATAAGCATAAAACTAACCTCATGCAGCAGACAAAAACACATTATCAAATAAAACAGTTGCACTGCTGAGCATTTCCTGCTTTCACTATCAAACACTGGATTTTAAATTTGCATTTAATTGTACTAGGACACCTGACATGCTGCTTATCTCACCATTTTTCAGAGTGTCACCTGCAACAAAGTGAAGTTATCAAGACCAGCCTGACACCTACTCCTCTATTAAACTGCACTGAGGAGAATATGTAACCTATGCATGATGAATGTCAAAGCCTTAACAAACTTGTCCTGCACCGGCTGCTGGTGCAAAAGGAGACAGTTTTAGTTTCACTCATCCTGTCTACATTCGCACCAGTCGCGACCTGAGCCCTTTTTTTTGCAGAAGCGCCCCTGATATGAAAGAATTTAACTCCTTCTCTGCATCAATGTAGCTATTGTAGCCATTGCATTCTTTCAGCAGCTTCAATTTCCAACTTGTGCAATGTCGGCAAGTTACAAACTTCACCGCAAAGGATACAAAGCACAAAACACGCGTATGACAGCCAGTGGCCCGAACACATAACGGGGCAGAAGTGTGGTAAGTTTGATCGGCCTGCTAAGTAGCTCAAATTTGCAAGAGATCAAACAGGGACAAAAAAAAAAAAATAAAAAAATAAACAAAAATGCAGCGCTCCTCTGTAGCCTACCATTTTGATCCAGCGTTTCGAGGCTCAAAGGAGTCCCAGAATAACTCCTTTCGCACCAGTTTTCCCTTCGCCATGAAAATGACCGTTGAATTGTCACATTTCTTCAGTTTTTGCCTTATCCTCAATCTTTTTCCCCCCGTGCTGCTGTAGCATTCAGACAGACAAAAAAATGCAGAGGCTGCTTTTGCAGAAGGAATTGGTGATTGGAGCTCGGGGATCATATGGGCTTTTTGTCAGACGTTTTTAAAGGGACACGGTACTGTTTTACGTGGAGTTGCGAGACAGGCGCATTTCTTTGTACTGGACTTCGATTTTTATTTTTTTTTTCCCCCTCATTTTATTTTGGCGTGCACAGGAGGACAGGGGAAGGGACATTGAGCCATATGGCGCAAACCTCGGTGCGCTTCCTCTCACTGTGCGCTCCTGCGGCCGCGTGACGTCATGCGGGCAGACAGATGCGGAGGGGCAGGGAGTTCATTCATTTCCCCATGTTGCAGAAGTCATTGTAACTTCATTTATACAATATATGGCCAGTGTAACTCCCGCGTATCGAAACTTCACAACTTGGTAATGTCTTACATCTCCAAACGGGACGAATGGATTTGGTTGCAAGTGCACAGTTGAGTCTAAAAGAGAGCAAAATGTCCAATGAGAGTTTAAATCTTAATGGGTAACCCACTCCTCCTCCTACCGTGGCCACAGTAACCTGCTATGGGGCTCTGGGACTAGAATGAGATGTGGGCCTCTATTGACCCCTGGTTAATCCATTCTGAATGTCAATTTTTAGGAATATGCACCATAAAAGCATATCATAAACCGAAATAATAAAGGTGTTAAAACTAGATATCAACACCAGGCCACTCCACTTCAGGTAATAATTCAGGTGTCACCTTAAGGCCACTATAATTTCAGTTCATATTGGTTTTAGTGGTGCATACAGTATTACAAAACAGATTCATTGCCACTAGGGTAACAATTATTTTCATTATTGATTCAGCTGCCAAGGTTTGACCTATAAAACATCAGAAAACAGTGAGAAATAGCTATCACACTCTCCAAGGTTAAATACCCCCTCCAGACATCTATTAAGACACACAAACAAACAGATTGTTTGGAACAATAATGTGTGTCTGGTATGTATCATTTCCACATTCAAATCCTTATAAAGTCATCTTCTCCTTCTACCTCATTAAAAATACCAGAAGCTATGAATATATTAATTTCTAAAGTTTTCCTATTGGACACAAGATGTCTCCCATATTTCACTGTAAAGTTCATTCTCAGTGTCTGTGCACTGGTGGCTTCAGGTTTCTGTACCACACTTGTATAAGTTGCATACTTTGACCAGGGTTGACTTCCAAAGTATTTGTGACGTCACAGATCGTGCTCACTGAAAATTAGATTTAAAAATCTAATTTTCAGTGAGCAGAGAGGAAGTTTCCACTTTCAGCAGAAGAATGAAAACATCCTTCTCATGTCAGACTCTGCACATACATCATTCTGCACAGTGAAGTTCAAACATCCCACCGCAGGAACAAGAAAAAAAACCTTCGTTTTGAACTCTTTTCATGTCTTATTTTGTCTCACAGCCAGAACTCAAAGATATTAAGTTCACTATAATATAAAACAGAGAAAAGCAGTCTGACATTGGAGAAGATGAAACGCTTTGCTTGAAAAATAACACAGTTAATAAATTATTAAAACAGTTGCCTATTATTCTTCAATCGGCTGATCGTTTCGGCCCTAATTGCCACACAAAAACGTGGATCCTCCGTCTCTCTTGAGTGTCTCGGTCCTCCGGGGCAGTTGGTAATGCATGTTGGTTAATTCAGTCTTGTCTTGAACCCCCCTGAAGGGTCCCCAGACCTCACTGCCATTGCTCACTCCAGAGCAGACTGTATGGAGCAAAAGTCAATATGCTCATAACAAGGTGGGGGAAAAAATTGATCACAAGCTGGAGCAGGTCCCATTCATCACTTCATGTTCCGGGACTCAGCCGAGCTCACAGCGTCAGTGTGGTTGCAGTCACTCAGTCAAAAACCCAGACTGACACACACATTTAGCACCAAGAGGTTTTAATTTAAGCTACAGCATGTGGAAGTGTAAACAGTGTAACCATGGAGTTTGGATTGGCCTAGCAGCAAGAAAAAAAAGTGTTCAATATTTCATATCGTGCGCTGTTAAACATTTCAGACAAGGAGAAATTGAAGAGGAGAAATTCAGTGAAAAGTGAACCATCTATTTCTCCAAAACGCGACAGCAGGCAAATGATTTTTCCTCATGAAACCTGAGGCATTGAACTCCACGTTCTGAGAGGAGCCTGAAAAAAATAAAAACCCATCCCGAGCCACGTGAAACACCTGCATGTTAACAAAGAGGGTACTACAGGACATATTTTTTTAGGGAAACATTATTCCACTACTGAGGCACACAAAGTAACATGATGACATCATCTGGTGAATCAAGTGTTTGCCTGTAAGGTCGACTTAAAGAAGGAGGAAGTAAATACTTTAGGGCGGTGGTTTTCAACCTTTTTGGCTCAAATCATATGTCAGTGTGGACATGAGTTGTCATTCGTTTTCTGCAACCCTGTGAGGCCTTGACTCCTTTATTCTTTAAATTAAACTAGGAAACTAAAAAAGTGATGTTTTCTTTTCAGCTTGTTTCATTTAAGGGATTTTTTAGGCCTGTAGAGATGAAAGTAGCCGGTATTATTCAAAATATACATTTGATCAGAAACCTAAATTTACTTTCTTTTCTCATCTTTTGATCCATCAGATTTATCTGAAAGTTAGGAATCATTACTTTATGCTTTCCTGTTATTTTACATATTAAATTGTATTATTATGCCTAAAATACTTTAAAAAAGATTTAAAAATGCTTTGTCAAAAATCAAAAAACATCAGAATCAAATGAAATAATTTTATCCTGGTGTGCAGCACATGGCGTATTTTGCTATAAAACGTACTTGTTGCTACTTTTCCACTTTAGCACGGTGGTTAAGAAGGATTATTGTACTTCCAGATTTGCTTTGTACTAAGCCATCCATACAAAACAGGCCTGAACAGCAGACGTATTCACTGCCTGCACTGGCAGATAAAAACTGGACAGGCACTGTAGCATTTCAATAAGATCTATATCTCACAGACAATTCTTGGTTTCTAGTGTGCAGCTCACAAAAGCTTCCACAAGAGAGAGACAGTCGTCACACAGCAGCACAACTTTTAAATGTACGCAAATATTAGCAAGTGAGGAACCACATTTTCAATTAGTTCTGAGTGATTAATAATTTAATGGAGCCATCTCTTACGTTACTCCAATGAAGTGAAATAATAGTCTTGCGTTAATCAGATTCCTCTAATTACATGACATCTCCTACAGTACATTCTATAAAAAGACAACTGCATTGATTGACGTAAACATAATACATACACTTAAATCTGCCGGTACTGTGCAGCTCACTGCATTGATCTCACAGGTACACACACACACACACACACACACACACACACACACACACACACACACACACACACACACACACACACACACACACACACACACACACACACACACACACACACACACACACACACACACACACACACACACACACACACACACACACACACACACACACACAAAGCTAGATGGCGCCACAGTAGAGGTACAAATTCATTTGACATTGGACATCCCTGCACATTATCTACTGTACACCGAGAGGAAAGACTGAAGAACAGAGATGATAAGATGCTATGGTATTTATTAAGTGTAAACATTCATAACTGATTGAATCAAATCAGAAATACTATACTTTGAGTACAGTTTTAACATTCATGATACAGTAATAAAACTAATGGAACAAAGAAAAATTACACTTTGAAACTGCAACAAAAAGTTATTTTTATAATATAATAATCTTGTGTCCTGAAAACATGACCTCAAAATACACTCAACTCTTCACACGCATCAGAACTGGAAGACACTTTCAGTATGTCTAACTGTACATTTCAGTGTATAAAAAAACAGATGTAGAAAAGGAATACACAAATATATAATAATATAAAATATATACAACTTATTTCTCATTAATTATCACAGACATTTTATTTTATTAACTGCTAGAGTGGCCATGTTGGCAAGATTTAGCCCAGTTGTTTTCAGCTGAGACAGTCTCTAAAAGAAGATCTGCCTGTGTGTGAGCTTGCAACATGGTTTATTTATTTACATATAATAACATTAAATCCTCAAACACCATGTCAGCTTATGTAGGAGGGACATACAGTACGGTATTAAACTATTAACACAATGTTTCCTCTTTGAGCTTTAGTTTCTAATCTGAGATGATAACAGTGATTGCTATTGTGTGTTGCACAGTGTCCAGACTTTGTGGTTTTGTTCCCTCCCAGCAGACTCGAGAGCTCAACTGTAGCGACTGCTGCGACTGTGACTTCTGCGCCTGGAAGAACTGCGACTGGAGGAGCGGTACGACCTCCGGGAGAGACAGAGAATACAGTCAAATATTTGACTTTTCAGGAATTAATTAGACACAGGCTGAATGATTAGTACGTCTTTGTGTGAAACGTTCAGCCACAGAGAGGAAAAAGAGAGAAGGTTAAGAGGTTGACGTGAGACCTGCCACCGTGTTGATGTCTGTCAGGGTTCACCAGGGAGCAGAGTGTCTTACCGGGATCGTCGGTCTGAGCTCCTGTAGCTGTCACTTCGTCTGCGCCCCCGTCTCCTGCTCACGCTCCGACTCCGGCTGGAATAGCTGTCGTAAGAGTCTGACCTGCATTTTCATACAGCCGGATGACAACAGAGTAGTGTTTGATTCACACAGATTTTCTTAGTAATTGCTTATTAAACAAAGAAAAAGTTATCTAAATGTTCCTTTTGTCTGAATAATCTGTCTGTGTGCATAGTGAAAATGATTGATTGGTTATTCCTGCATCCTGCAATTGCAGATCAAATAATTAATGACTACTGCTAATAACGATTATTATAATTATTGATTATTCTGCAGACTATTTTCTAGATAGACAGATTCATCTTTTGGTCTATAAAATGTCAGAAAATGGTGAACACTGCCATTAACTGCACCATTTTCAGAAGCTCAAGGTGACGTCTGTTAAGAGCTTAGTTTGTCTGAAAAACCAGAAAAGAAAAAAAAATCTTTATTAAAAAAGAAAAAAAATTAAATATGCAAT